TGGTTAGTTTTGGTAAGTTTTAGTAGTTTTAGTAAATTTTAGTAGTTTCGGTAAGTTTTATTAGTTTTTATAAGTTTGTAGTTTTAGTAGAGTTTTAGTTTTAGTTTTAGTTTTAGTTTTGAAAATTCTTAAATAGTTTCGGATAGCAACATTAATAGCAATTTTAGTCAATAAATCGTAAAAGAAGGTAATCTGTTATACAACAAAAAAGTATAGTCTTCTGCATAATTATTATATAAAAAATTGGCAGAAGACTACACTAATACTAGTATATATCTAGGCATAGGTAGCTTTATTGACACAAATCTGGCTATAGAATTATTGCATACATTTTTTTAGATATGTATTCGAGTATGATATGGAGGTAACTTTAAAATCATTATAGGAAGAAGCCCTCATCTCAAAGTATGTATCTGCCATCATAAAGTATACTGCGGGGAGAAACCTATCCTATTGAATGGTATATATCAGGTATGTATTTGGATAAGGTATAAAGCCTTCTGCAAATTATATTATATAAAAATGGCAGAAGGCTTCATCCGAACTTAGTGAGCAAATCATAGAAGAAAGGCATCCAATTGTATCTGAAAGTATAGGTAAGTGTATAATTATATTATATAAAAATAGCAGAAGGCTACCCTATCACTAGTATATACTTGGATGTGATATGAAGCCTTCTGCAGAATTATATTATATAAAAATGGCAGAAGGCTTCATCTGAACTTAGTCAACAAATCGTGAAAGAGAGACAAGTAGATATGTATCTGAAAGTGGAACCTTCTTCATAATCTATATATAAAAAATTGGAAGAAGGCTCCATCTTTCTAGATATATGTTCGACTATAGTATAGTCTTTGTGTAAGACTTATTTGCTTAATTTTGGCCAACACTATTCCACAATTTCAACCAAAACTTTGGATATAATATTTTAACACCCAAGCTAGCATAAAACTGGCGAACTAATAGAAACTCTAGCTCCCTGCCAGTTTTATGACAGTTTCAGGAGAGTTCCATGATACTACCAGAATGCCATCACGACGCCATTACAATATCAAATTGGATCCTTAAATCACATGCCTAAAGATCGGCCAGAGTTATAACATAAAGCTGGCAAAATTAATCGCAAATTCACTGCGTCACCCGTCGCCTCTTTTTTTACATCATTTCAATATTTTAAAGGGCAATCAAATAGGCGTAAAAAAGAAGCATCCTTGATATCTTAACAGGCTACCAAATAGGCTCAGAAGCAGAAAACAAGCGAATAGCTCTTTAGAAATAAAAAGAGCGCAAAGCATTGTAAACACATGAATAGTTCCTTGATAATAAAGAGGACAGAGCAATAAAATCAAGCGGATAGCTACAAGGTAACAAAAAGACCACAGAATAATAAAAACAAGTGGATAACTACAAAGCAATAAAAAGACCACAGAGCAATGAAAATAAGCGGATAGCTACAAAGCAATAAAAAGACCACAGAGCATCAAAATCACATAAATAGGTAACAGTATACTCAAAGTATGTAACAATTTAATGCAAGTAGGTAACAATTTACTCATAACTAGGTTGCAATATATATATATTACAACCTAGTTATGAGTAAATTGTTACCTACTGAACAAGTTAAAATTTGTCTATATTACCTTAAAATACTAACTATTTAATAAGCTAAATATGTTAAATCAACAATTAATTTAATTAATACTTAATTAAATAAGACTTTTTAATATGATTTATAATTATTAGACAAATATAAAAGTAAGTTTTGATTTTAATCATAAATTTAAAAAACAGGCATATTAAAATAATTAAAATATTATTAGAAATACTAACTCACTACTATTGATTTAGAAGAATATTATATTCTATTTCAAGAAATTAAAGGTTTATAAAATATATAATTTAATAAAAACTATTAAAATATGGGAGGTGGTCAGTAGAAAAGAGGGAAATCCAAAATTTTTGTTAATTTTAATTATTAAGCTAATTTTGTGTATATGATTTAGTCCAATAATATAAATTTTGACCAAAATTTGGATTTCCTCCTTTTCTACTGACCACCTCCCATATACTTACAAGAAAATACTTTTAAAAATTGTTTAATATGAATTAATAAAAATATATATTATAATATTACTTTTATAATTTAATAATATAAACTTTAATATATAATAAAAATATCTAAAATTATAACATATGATCATATGTAATTAGATAATAATATATAATATATGATAGACTGCAGCAAAACCAGACAAAGTGAACATTTAATTATGTGATATAAATGAGAAAATGTGACTATAAAATTGACTAGTGTGACTGATGACGTTTTGAAAAGTCATAATAGTAGACATTTATAATTTATGGACTTGATAATTTTAATGTTCACTTTATCATACTAGAATGTGATGAATATAAATCATAATAGGATTAATATAGGATTATCTTTATATAAAATATAATATAAAATTAATTTACATTAAATTCATTATAAAACCCAAGAATTATAGCATTATTAAAAGTATTCTAAAAAAAGCTCAAGGAAAAAATTGCATTTTATGTTTTAAAAATCAATGATACTCAAACTCTCTGAGAATATTTAGATAAAGAAAAAATTACTTATAAAATTTATTAGGAAGAACAAAAAAAAATCAACCATAAACTAACCTTAACCTTTACTTATAATAAATTAAGAAAGAAATAAAAACTGACAAAATAACTTGATAAAACAAATAATTTATTTTTTCTTTTGATTTTGATAATTATAATTTACTTTTTAATTTTAATCAAGATTCCTTCTAATATTCATCATCTTTATCACTGTCTCTATTATTTTTAGCGTTAGCTAAACTGTTTTATCAAGCTATTATCCTGTTCTTAATAAACAATACTGGTAATAATTAAATATGTATCAGTAATAAGGCAAGTTCCTATTATTATCACAATCAGATTATCTCAATTTTAGAAACTTTTTGTTTTATCTTCATCATCATCTTTTTATCTTGCTGCCTGAATAATTATGCTTTACACCTTCTGTCTTTTCATTGTAATATTTAATGATACTATCATCAGTAAACTCTTTGTTGTTTCTGTAAATACTTTTATTTAATCCTTTGTCATCTTTTTTATGATTCTCTATCTCCTTAACTATGGTAGTTTTTAAATCATTATTAGCCTTTAATTCTTGTGAAGCAATACTTTTAATCACTATTTAGGACTCTAAGTAAAGAATCCTAATCAATTTTGATCACTATCACTATTGTCTGAAATTTCTGACATATCAGATTTTTTAGAAAGATTTTCTTTTAAAGATTTGATAAATTCAGATTTCTTAATTTTATCCCCTTTATTAACCTTATTAATGATCTTTTTAGTCATTTCAACATCCTTTTTAAAATTAAGAAAACTTGGGAATTATATTCATTGTTTAGTAATATCACTGAAAATATTATTTTTTACTTCTAAAGCAACTTTGAGGTTTGAAGGAGTAATTTTTTTTCATTAGGAATAGGAACTTAATCTAAATAATTACTAATTTGAGTTAACTTATTTTTTTCTTCTAGACTCAGATCTATTTTATTTTTTGCAGACTCCAAAGCATCTTTATTCCAATAAGATAAACTTTCTTATACTCTTCACTATGGTATTTACTATCAGTATTCTTTCATTTATCTAATCTTTTAGTAAAATTATCATTAAGAGCCATTCAAACTCAGTAAGGAGTTAGAATATCTAACAATATCTTTTCTTCATTATCCATAGTTTTTTATAAATCAATTACATTAAAAGTAGAATCAATAGAATAGAAACTTTCTTATTTTTTCATTAAACTTAAAATACTTCTTAAAAATATTCTTTCTTTATAATTTTTTTTAGGTTTAGCATAAATAAGTCTGTCTCTCTTAAACCTGTCATCCATTTCTCCTTAGCAGTTTTTTCTAAATTTTTAGCATTTCAAATTCTTGTCTAGTCATGACTAGTTTAAAGTTAATATCATTTTGTTTAATCAATTTATCACCTAACTTTTTTTTATTTTCTTCTAAACTCAATCTTTTTGCTTTAATATTAGTATCACATCTATCTCATATATTAATCATATTATCAGAAACTTTATCTTATTTAATTTTAGTATTTAATAACTTAATCTGATTATCATTATAACTAATATATCTTTTTTTTAATTCATTCAAAGTTAGACCTCTTGCTTAATTTCTAAATTTTCATAACATCTAATGCTATTTTATTAGTAATATTTTCTTATTCTGATCTAAGTTCTATTACTTTTTCTTTGGTAAATAGATTATTACTACTACTATCTTTTAAATTCTTGATAAATTCTTCAACATACTCTTTATAAATTTGTCTAATAACAAAATGTTGATATTTTAGCATTAGTTTTTCCTCATAAACACTTATTTTATTGTTTTGAATATTTTCTTTATTAATTTTATCTTTACATAAAACTTTATCATAGGCAGAAAAATTAATAGCATCATTATTATTATAAACTTATCAAAGAATTCAGGTATTTGACTATTAGCTCAAGCTAATTTTTTCTTTTTATAAGGAAATAAGTGCTGAGAATGCTTGCATTTTCATTATTAATAACATAATTTTTTCTAATAATACTTGCATCAGCTCCTTTTAATTAAATATTATGAGAAGTATCTGAACACTCATCATTATTAAACTGTAAACAACTATTTTTACCTGCTTTTAAGAAAGGGTTATCTTTATAATTACTATCTTTGGAAAAGAGAATATGCATGATATAAAGATATTACTTGCATGTATAATTTCTTTTTTTACTTCTTTTTAACTCATGTAATTTGCCTATAAATTTATGATTAGAATGAGTTTTAACAAACATAAAACTTCCCTTACTATCACTAAAATAATCCATCAAACCATTATAACAATCATTTTTAAATTCAATTTTTCAATTTAATCTGTCCTCCTACTCATCAATTCATGATTGGCTATTTTTATTACATTTGTTCTGGACTTAAAGCAAAAGATGGTTATCTGTAAGTAATATAATAAATATTATAGATTTGACAAAATCAAAGGAAGCTAAATTAGCATTTCTGAAAACCTCTGTTTCAATGTGATTTTAAACTTTTTCTTATTATTAGTACTTCAAGTATAAAAAAAAAAGAAATATAATTAAAAAGTTTAATTTTATTTACATCTTTTAAAAGAGTTCAAATTTGACCTGGCAAATCTTTAAGTAAATAAGCTGGATGAGTATAAGGTTTATCTTTAACAGTATAACCAGTTTTGATAATTGATCTATAAGAAGTAGTTGTTGCTGATTCAGTAGATATATAAAATTATTTTTGAATAACCTTTATTAGTGTCTATGATATTTTGCAAAATTTTATGACATATCCCTGCTCCAACAGTGTCAAGATCATTTTTTAAAGCAGTAAACGCTGTAGCAACCTTAGTTTCTAAGGCAGTTTGTTTATCGATTAATTTTTGAATTTTTGATTATATTTTTCTTATAATTTTTTAATTTCTTTATTAATAACTTCTCCTTTACCATTCAAATCTTTAATTTTGAGCAAAGTAGTTTGAATTTTTCTATTAAATTCAGGTTCAGATTCAGCAAATAAAACATTTTCAAACTGACTAATAACTTTATCAACTGGTTTATTATTATTCAGACCATTAACTAATTGATAAGGAATAGTTTTACCTTTTTATCCTACTAATAAAGAGTTAAATAAAGTTCTTCCTTCAGCAATTAAACCTATGGTTTCAGTTTTTACTTTATTTTAGGATTGTTTTCAATTATTTAATAATTCAGCAGTATTTTGAGGTAAAGTTTTAACTAAATTTTCATTTAGTTTAAAAGGTCACTATCAAAAATATTTTTTTCCTTTGGTTTAAAAATTTCTCTATAATAATTGGAGTATCCTTTTGCTTCATTTATTGTATTTATATCATTTTTATTGAATATCATGATTTTTAATTTTTATTACGTAGTATATTATATCTTAGTATAAATATTATTAAAAGATTATAATATAAAGAATTTAATAGAAATAAACAAAAAAACTAATAAAGTAATAAAATTTGCGGTTGACTAAAATATTTTTATTTATTATCAGCATGTCTTGAATTCGTCTTGAATAAATAGACAAATATTATGATAAAGATACTCTTGCTTTTTGTAATTCAAAGGAGGAGGGGTTAGTATCAGGATAAAAAAGGATTTAATTTCTTTGATAATTTTAGAAACACTTACTTTTCTGGTTTTCAACAAATTAAATTCAGTAAAAACTCTATTAGCCATTAGCTGAGTTTTAACAATTCCAGGTTGAGCTGCTTCAAATAGTAAATGTTGATATTTTTGTAAACCAATTAATTTCTTAAAGAAAATTTCCAATATAGAATTCAGATCTAAGTATTGAAAACTTTGCTGTTTTCATAGCACTGAGCTTTGTTTAATCCTGCTGTACTTGATTTTTTCACAATATTAACAATATGATTTATGCAATCTACCATTATTTTTCTATAGAGCTTTTTAATTAGTTTGAAATTACCATCACATTTGAATTTAATATGTCCAAATATCATAAAATTTAATTCAATACTTTCATAATAGCCGCAACTTACTAAATATAGGTAAAATCAAATAGTAGTGTAATAGAAGAGTCAACCGCAAATCATATGACAACAGAATAAATCACCTGATCTACTACGCCAAGTATCTGCCATA